GTAAGAAAACACGCAAGCCACGTCATAATGCAACAGCAAAACAATATAAATCCAAAACAATGCAGTAAAAACAGTAAAACTCGTAAAACATCTCAGATCATTAAAACCATTTTTAAACACTTTTCAATAGTTTCAAACGAGTGATGAAAGCGGTGAGTAAAAATATAGAAACGTAAAACAGCCCCTCGGGCAAAACATGTACCATAACCGCCCCTCGGGCAAAATATCAACAGAACCAGCCCCTCGGGCTATCTGACAATCACTTGTAATCATCCCCTCGGGCGATAACATGAAATAACAACAGCCCCTCGGGCAATATCACATCTCACACTGGGTACCCGCGCTCACTAGGGGTGTACAGACTCCGGGAGGGCTCCTACAACCCAAGCGCTAACATAAGCCATATCGTGGCATAACAAATCAGGCCCTCGGCCTCTCAATATCTCAAATCAGTGTAACACGCTGCGGCGCGGAACCCGATCCCATAACATCCTCACAACACAGGCCCTCGGCCTCACTCAGTCAGAACTCACTCAAGCCCTCGGGCTGATAGTAAAACAAGTACTCGGCTCAAAATATCATTTATGAAATCGTAAGGAGTGAATAAAACCGAGTTATGAAAACAGTAAGAACATAGCATGACTGAGTGTAAATATCAAACCGAAAACAGTGAGGAAAACAGTAGTAAAATCCCCTAAGGGTCCAAACAATCGGCACAAGGCCCAAACACGGCATTCAGCCCCAAACATAGTAATATATTTCCAAAATGTAATAATAACAAACAGTTTCCAATTAAATACATGAATAGTCGTATGGGATGGACCAAGTCACAATACCCAACGGTGCACGACCCCACGCTCATCATCTAGCGTGTGTGTCACCTCAATATAGCACAACAATGTGAAATTCGGGATTTCATACCCTCAGGACAACATTTACAATCATTACTTACCTCAGTCCGGTCCAAACTCTAGCCCGCGATGCCTTTGCCTCTCGACTCGGCCTCCGGATGCCCCAAATCTAACCAAAAATGGATTTATACCATCAAAATATGCTAAGGGAACAAAGCCCACTCGCAAAATAACCAATTTACATCAAAAATCCCGAAATTGGCCAAACCCGACCCCCGGGCCCACGTCTCGGATTCCAATAAAAATCACAAACTAGAATCCTTACACTCTCACGAGTTCATACATATCAAATACATCAAAATCCGACCACAAATGACCCCTCAAATCCTCAAATCAAAGTCTCCAAATTTCAAGCCCTAACTCCCCAATTTTAGGCTTTAGATTCCACAAATTTCATGTCTAATTAGGTAGAAATTACAATAAGAACGAGTATTGAGTCCAAAAATCTTACCTCCAAGTGTTTCCCTTTGATTCCCTCTTCAATCCTTCTCAAAAAGCTCCAAAGTCGCTCAATAATGGTGGAAGATAGACCAAAAATCGCGAACAAGTCTATTTAAACATTCTGCCCAGATGACATATCCTTCTTCGCGAACACGGTCAAAGCCTCGCGTTCGCGAAGCACAAAAAACTCGTTGACCATAAATTCCTCTTGCGCGAATGCGAACACCAGCTCGCAAACGCGAAGCTTTCGCTTTCCAGACCATCGCGAACGCGACCTCCTTAACGCGAACGCGAAGCACAAATGACCAGGACCCCAGCTACTCCCATTTACTCTACGCGAACGCGGGAACCTCATCGCGTTCGCGATGCACACTGAACCGCACCCTTCGCGAACGCGGGACCAGCATCGCAAACGCGAAGGCCAAATTGACTGCCTCACTTCTCATCCCTTCGCGAACACGAAGGCCAAAACTCTGCAACACCAACAGCAGAAAATCTGCAACTTCCCAAAACTAGATTTGATCCGTTTAACCACCCGAAACTCAACCGAGGCCCTCGGAACCTCAACCAAACATGCCAACATATCCCATAACATCATCTAAACTTGTTCCAATCTTTGGAACCCTCAAAACAACATCAAAACACCAAATCATCATAGGATTCAAGCCTAAGAAATTCCAAAACTTCAAATTCCGCCAATTCAAGCCTAAATCTACTCCGGACCTCCAAAACACATTCCGATCACGCTCCTAAGTCCCAAATCACCTCCCGAAGTTATCCGAATCAAAAAAACCAAATTACGAGATTGTTTACTCACAAGTCAACTTCCGGTTGACTTTTCTAACTAAAATGCCAACTTAAGAGGCTAAGTGTCTCAGACCTTTTCAAAACCATTCCGAATTCGAACCGACTATCCCGATACCATATAACACAGATGAACAAAGCATAAAGAAGCAGAAATGGGGGAAACGGAGTGGTAACTCATGAAACGACCGGCCGGGACGTTACCTTTGTACGGACTCTCATCACCTCGTGCGTACGTAGCCCCACAAATAGAAGCACATAATAATTTAGTTCACCTAGGGGTTAATTCCCTCTTACAAGGTTAGAAATGAGACTTACCTCGCTCAGAAGCTCCATAACCGGCTCTCAATCCCTTCCGACGACTCAAATCGATGTCCAACGCTCCAAAACTATTCAATAAATGTGCAAACCATAAAGACATACTCTAATACTCATTTTAATCCAATTTATAATAATTTCTAATCCCGATCGAAAAGTCGATAAAAATCACCCTCGGGCCCACGTGCCCGGATTTCGAAAATTTTCGAAAATAAACTTTACCCATAGCCTCACAAACTCAAATATATATATATATATATATTTTCAGTTCCATGTCCAAAATCGTGGTCAAAATCCACAATTACCAAATTCTAGGTCTTTCTTCAAAATCCCAAATTTCTACTAATTTCCATGTTTAAATTCTTATACAAACCATGTATTTAACTTATATTGAGTGGGAATCACTTGCCTTGTATTGCTTGAAGAAAATCTCCCCTTGAAGCTCTCCAAAATTGTCAAACCAAATGAAAATGGGAGAAAAATGGGCCAAGTCCTGTTTTTGTAATGCCTCACTGCCCAGCGACCATTCCGCATCTGCAATACACCAGTCGCATCCGCGCTTCCGCTTCTGTGGCCTCTTTTTCCGCACCTGCGGTCCTTGCCGCTTCTGCGGGTAATGGCGCAGGTGCGCACACTTTTCCACTTCTGCGGTTCCCACCGACCTTGGCTCCTTCCGCACCTGTGAGCCATCTCCCGCACCTGCGGGCTCGCACCTGCGGCCCTCTTTACGCAGGTGCGGTTACACCAGATGCCCAGCTGCTTCAGTTCTTCCTTAACTTCATATTTCAATCCGTTAACTACCTGAATTCCACCCGAGGCCCCCGCCCAATCACACCAACCAATTCCAAAATGTAATGCGGACCTACTCGAGGCCTCAAATCACATCAAACCGCGCTAAAATCATGAATCGCACTCCAATTCAAGCTTTATAAACTTTAGAACTTCAAACTTCTTCATTTGATGCCGGAACCTATCAAATCACGTTCGATTGACCTCAAATTTTGCACACAAGTCACATTTGACATTATGGACCTACTCCGACTGCCGGAATCGGAATCCGACCCCGGTATCGACTTCCGGTCAAACTTCTCAAAAACCTTCAAATTTCTAACTTTCGCCAAATGACTCCAAAATGACCTACATACCTCCAAATCCACTTCCGAACGCGCTCCCAATACCGGAATCACCAAACGGAGCTATTCCCATACTCGTAATCCCAACGGACATCGATAACATTGAAATGCACTTCAACCCAAATTTATGAAGTTCTTCCAAAATGCCAACTTCCACAATAGACGCTGAAACGCTCCCGGGTCATCCAAAACCCGATCCGGACATACGCCCAAGTCTAAAATCATCAAACGAACCTGTTGGAACCTTCATATCCCGATTCCGAGGTCGTTTACTCAAAAATTGAACCTTAGTTAATTCTTCCAACTTAAAGCTTCCGAACTGAGAATTTTCTTTCCAAATCAACTCCGAACTTCCCCAAATTCAATTTTGACCACACGTACAAGTCATAATACCTTAAGTGAAGCTGCTCAAGGCCTCAACCTACCGAACGACGCGCTAGAGCTCAAAACGACCGGTCGGGTCGTTACGGACAAAACTGTAGACTGCAGGACAAAACTCCAGCATGTTTTGGCATGAAGTTTTAGCAAATTAACTAAATAACTTAAGCATGTTTAGTCTGAAGTTTTAACAAATGAACTAAATAACTTAAGCATGTTTAGTTTGACATGGCACTTCAATAGATTTTGGGCTCCATCTACGAGATCACTTGAACTATTTAGACAAGGCCCAAAACCTCAATAGGCTTCAGTTCCATCTCAAGTCTCACTATCGAAATTGTAGCGCCAATTATAGAGAGTTGTCAAAAGGAAAGAAGAGAATCAGGAAAATAAAATTAAAGAAAGAGACAACTGTAGTCTGTTCGGAGTAATATATTTCATATTTTGCTTGACTGGCAGTCGTTAGGTAGGAAGAGAATATCAATATGTTATTGCTACCTACATTAATTATTAACTACAGTCAAAACTCTCTACAACAATCTCGTTTGTTCCGAATATTTTTGAATGTTACAGCGAAAACTATTATAGAGAACATACATTATAACATAATAAAAATTAATTCCGAAAAAACTTGACTTTTATAGTAAAGTGTTGTTACATAGAAGTACTGTTATAGAAAGATTGTTATACATGATTCTTATGTTTTTCAAAGGTTGAATACATACTCGACCATTTAAACTTATTGGAATTTTTTATTTAGACAATTAAATTAAAGATTAAAATAGACATCTATACAAAAGCTCAATTGTTTCTATATAGAATAAAGTAGCATATATTATTAGTATTTATTAGCTTGCCACTTGGCTTAACCACAATGTTAATTGTATTTAGTAACTTTATTCCTTTAATATATATATATATATATATATATATATATATATATATATATATATATATATATACATACTTAATAATATAAGTTCACGCCAATGCGCGTAAGACTGGTTATCTTAAAAATATATTAAGCACCTTCACTACAACAAATTAAGCTAAATCTTTTTATTAAGCCTTTAGTTTGAGTTTGGAGCAATCGTACTACCAAAAAAGAGTTCCATTCTTCCAAATATCCATTGTTTAATTTGCTCAGTTGCTCTCATCTCCAATTTAAAATTTGGAAATCGAAAGAGACGATGGCGGACACACTCGGTGCTCTGAGGTCTTTAATGTCCTCTCACTCTCCTCCTCTTCACGCTTTGATTGTTCCTTCAGAAGATTATCATCAGGTTCCCATTTTTTTTGTGTGTGTGTATATGTAAGTTCATCGGACTTAGATATATGCAACTGTTTTACGATTCTATACGTTGTTGGATGATGTGACAGAGCGAATATGTATCGGCACGGGACAAAAGGCGCGCATTTGTGTCTGGATTCACCGGAACTTCTGGTTAGTTTAATTTTATTTTTCAATCACTTCATGTTGATTTTGTTGTATTTATCAGTTTTTAATTTCTGATTGCTGCTAATAACGTTTATAGAACCATCTAGTGTGCGGATATTAGTTTGCATTGGTTGGTAGAAATTTGGTGAAATTAATCAGAATATTGTTCCTATTTGAATAGGTTTGGCGCTTATAACAATGAATGACGCACTTCTGTGGACCGACGGCCGGTATTTCTTACAGGCAGCTCAGCAGCTCAGCGATCAGTGGAAGCTCATGCGTATGGGAGAAGACCCTGCTATTGATATCTGGATGGCTGATGTGACTACTCCTTCCTTGTTTCTTATAAATTGAGTTTACCTGCATTAGTTTGTGCTTTTTGTAGATATATGTTAATCATTAGCCTATTCTTGACTGCAAGAATATACCTTTTTCCCAGTCTTACTTGTTGCTTAGTCTGCATCAAAACAGTTATTGCGTACAGTCATTGGTGCCTAGTTGGTTTTGATTATTAGGAAATCAGCATATATAACAGGACAAAAATTCGATAGAGCTCCTACAGTATTTATGTTTTGTCATCTGTATCTCGACTGTGATGGAAACCTCTCAATTGATCCAGCCTATTAAGGTGAGTTTTATGGAAATGCAAAAGAGATAGAAAAATTTGAAATTGATTCAAATTCCCAATCCTGTCCATAAAGTTCTGTAATAATCTTTAACATGCGTAAACAGAACAATGTCTATTGATCTCTATGTTAATACTCTATATTAATCTCCTTGAAGATTCTTTTCTCGTCAATATGCCCATTAAAACTTACATGTGCAAGTGGTCATTCCATCATTCTCCTTTTGGAATGACGGTCTTTCAGTTCAATTCATATAACTGGTATTCGTGAAGAGAGCTTCATATATCTCCGAGCCAAGTTGAACGAGCATGTAGTATCCTACATTTACTCTTGCCATAATATAAGCTTCCCATCTTTAATTAATCTCAGATCTTCTCACTTATGACTCTATAAACTGTGAATGCATGAAGCCAAAATCTCAATCTTTTACTGTGGACTATTCATGTGTACTGCAGCACACAAAATCATATAGAATAGGCAAAGCCGTTTGAGTCCATTTTTGTTTCTCAGATCTCATGGATCATATTTCAGCTTGCTTCTACTATGTATATCTTAGATCTTTATTTTGTTTAGTCTTACTCTTGCCTCTCTTTATTTATTACAGTAGATATATAGTTTGTTTGAAAACTTTGTCAGCATAAAGCCAATATCTAAATGATAATATAGGAATTTAGTATGTCAAACTGAACTTAGCAGGAAGAGAATATCATAATGCCATCTGTTGTGATTTTATTCTCCACCCTAGTGACTATGATGTCCTGTGCCCTTTCAACATTTGTCCTCCCATGTCCAGATTTTATCTTCTAGACACTGTATCCTATGCAACAAGGTGCTGTAAATTTTTGAATCTGAATTTGCAAGTTAGAGGAGTGTGAACTTTGTGCCCCTGAAGTTCAGCTGATATGTTAATTGATATTTATAATGTGCTTTACTAGAATCTACCAACGGATGCAGCCATTGGTGTTGATACATGGTGTGTATCAGTAGATACTGCACAGAAATGGGAGCGTGCTTTTGCTAAGAAACAACAAAAGTTGGTCCAAACTACTAGGAACTTGGTTGGTGAAGTTTGGAAAAATCGGCCACCTGCCCAAGCAAATCCTGTAATTGTGCATCCATTGCAATTTGCTGGTCAGTCTGTTGCAGATAAGTTGAGAATTTTGAGGGCAAAGCTTGTACAGGAAAAAGCTCGTGCTATGATTATAACAGCACTTGATGAAGTAATTCCGTAACCCTAGACCCAAATTTTTCCATCTTATAGCTTTGGCTAATCTGGTCCTGTATATTATTTATTTCTCCAGTATAATTGCCAATTTACAGGTTTCATGGTTGTATAATGTCCGTGGCAGTGATGTATCATATTGCCCGGTTGTTCATGCTTTTGCGATTGTGACATTAGACTCTGCCTTCTTCTATGTGGACAGACGAAAAATGTCCACTGAGGTTGCTTCTACACTGCATAACCTTCTCATTTTAATTGAATACAGTTGCATTTTGTTACTTTTTTCTACTCAGAAGTAAGCATGTACATACCATGCAGGCAAACTCTTACATGGAGGAAAATGGAATTATAGTGCGGGATTATGGTGATGTTAGCTCAGATGTCGTCCTTCTTGCATCTAATCAACTCACTCCTTCCCCCACTAAGGAATTTCTAAGGAACCCAGAGATTGATGGGGGAAATGCCGCTAATAAAGGAAATGGTGCTAGTCATGCTGTTGAGTTTGTAAATGACCTCATTTGGGTTGATCCAGGAGCATGTTGCTTTGCTTTGTATTCAAAAGTGAGTGCTGATAAAGTTCTCCTTCAGCAATCACCTTTGGCTCTTGCAAAAGCTCTGAAGGTGATTAATACTACCTCTGAACATACTTATCCCCTAAAGTTTGTTGTCTGAGCATTTTAGGTTGTTGAAAGTCTCGTAGGTCTTCACACAGCCTTTGTTTGGTTGGTTAGGGGTCAAGTAGATCAATTGTTCCATCATAAGAAAAATAATAGCAAAGAAGTACTTGAAGTTGCTTGCTTGATGTGTACACAATCAGCTATAGCTCCAATTTTTGTCAGCTAAAAGTAGGTCGCTGTGAGCTTGATGAGCATTTCTTGTTCTATTATTATGCATGACCTTAATATGCTTTTCAACATTTTGAACTGAATCTATCTTAGGAGGTGTGGATGTTTAGGATTATATACCTCATGGTGTTATAATTTTCCCTGGATTAACATTTCTAGTTTTCCTGTTATATTTAGTGGGAATACAAATCATCATGTTTTTTCTTTTCTGAAGTATGATATGGACCTCGTGATTTCCCCCCTCCTTACCTCCTCTAAGATTTCTTGAGTAAAATACAAATCAATGATCATAATTTTGACAATTAAAACCATCCATTTTTTGCACTTGTATGATTAACCAAAGCTTGAATTGCAGTTCTATTTTCCTTGTCAATAATTGTTAAATTTGTCTTATTGGTGTCAAACTATTTTTTTTTTCTGAAAAATGAAAATTTTGGTGTGAGGTCGTTCTAATCCAACTAATTTGAAATCTTTATTTATTATTTTGTCTGCTATGCACCATCATCTGTGATGGTCTTTCATCATTACAGTTACTTCCAGTTCCAAATCTACTCCCAACTATAGTTATTTCTGAAGGTATCAGGCTGTCTAACATACTATTTTCTTCATGTTATGTGATTAAAACAAATCTTTCTTTGTCCTTTTATGTCTTTTGCGCATTGCCTATGATCTGTTCAGTACAATATGTTTTTTCCTCCATATAATTTCTTTTTTGTTGGTATCAAAAAAGTGAAAGTTGTACTGGAAGATGTTACTCAGTATAAAACATTAATGCGTAGGGGAACAAAATTACCTAGATTTAGCAGTGACTTTTTAAAACGTTCCAAGGTTATTAGGCTTTTGAAATGTCATCTGTGTTTTTGTGATTTTACTGTTGAAGTGTGTGACCATCTCATCTAAAAGCTTAAGCTGCAAGAGAGAGCACACTTTTATTTATTTAATTATGTCTTCAACACGCCCCCTCACGTGCAGGCTTGATTCACTTTGATGAGCCAAGCACGTGAAAATTCTTTTTGATATTGGGTGGCGTTGAGACTCGAATCTATGCTTTGATACCATGTTGAAGTGTGTGAACATTTCATCTAAAAGCTTAAGCTGCTAGAGAGAGACTTTTATTTATTTAGTTATGTCTTCAACACGCCTCCTCGCGTGCAGGGTTGATTCGTTTTGATGAGCCAAGCACGCGGAAATTCTTTTTGATATTGGGTGGCGTTGAGACTCGAAACCTAGAACCTCTGCCCGCTTTGATACCATGTTGAAGTGTGTGACCATCTCATCTAAAAGCTTAAGCTGCTAGAGAGAGCACACTTTTATTTATTTAGTTATGTCTTCAACACTTACTTTTACTCTCAAACTTACAGTTGGTTGCTAAATAACTAAATTATAATTTCTAGAATCCTGTTGAGATGGAAGGATTGAAGAAGGCCCATATTCAGGATGGGGCAGCTGTTGTGCAATATCTTGTCTGGCTTGATAAGCAGGTATGTCAGATTCTTAATTTTGATGCTCTCGTAATCTTGTGAGTTACTGCCGCCTACTGCATTTGCATCTTCCTTAGATTTTATATGTATGTAGGCATGTGTTTATGTATGTACTTCTTTTTGTCTCTGTGTGTGTGTCTGTATACATGTGTGTGTGTATATCTGTTCTTTTGAATCTTTACACGAGTGAAGAGTGTAAGCTAGTCTTTGTTGTTATATTCTGACAAAGCCAAATATGTTGGGGTTAGAAGTTTCAGTGTTTGCTAAACTAGAAGAGTAGAAGGATAATGTATCTCTCAGGAAAAGACATTAGATATACTTGCAATGCCTTTATGCAAACTGTGTGGACTTTGTATTTTTAACGGGGACTTCTTTGTTTTTAGGTGCAGACATACTTGATACAAGCTATCCCTGGTTTCAGTAGTTTGGCAAGATGAGTTTTAACGTTGTTCATGTGGTTCCGCTGTTGATAAAATCAATATTTTCAAATTTTCCAGATGCAGGAAATTTACGGGGCATCTGGTTATTTCAAGGAGGCTGAGTGTACCAAACAGAAGAAACAACTGTAAGTTTGATCTAGTTTCCTGTACTATTTCATGGTTTTGATGAGTAGGTACATGTTTAGCGCGGAATTGATCTGTTATAGTCCTCTAGTTCAGGACTTATCAAAAAAATAAATAAAAGAATACTCCACTAGTCAGGATCCAAGAAAACAAATTGAGGAGTATTATTAACATTTTAAATTGGGAATTAATCTATTAGAGTCAGCATCTTCTGGTGATCGGAGAGATACATTATTCAAGAAAGCGGTTTCTTGGTTTATTGTCTGTATAGAAGTTTATTGTTGTGTGCTTTTGTGTATTTGAAAAGCTTGTAACATGTTAGACTTTGATTTCTTTGATGATGATAGTGCTAAGAATTTTAGTTGCCTTCGATTCGCTGAAGGAAGCTTCTGCAAATTACTGATCTTCAGCCAATATGTCAAGTGATTCATTGAGGAACTTATCATGAAGCATGGGATGCATGATTTTGTTTTCCTTAGTGGTGGCTCAATGTTTTGTACCTTACCTTACCATTAATTAATATGTTAGGGGAACTAAAAGGCTGACAGAAGTCTCTGTGAGTGATAAGCTGGAGGAGTTCCGTGCATCAAAGGAGGTAAATCTTTGTATTCTGGTGAAAAATCGAGCATGAAATTGTTGTCTCGTCTCTCTAGTCCCTATCTATGATTAAGTTATCATCATCCAGGTAGTTGAGCTGACGACCCTCGAGTTTTTTTCCAGTTTGTGGCTTCTGTTTTACCGCAATGCTTTTGTATTCAGGACCATATGATATTCTGATTCTGACTCAAACTCTGTCCACTTACACACTGGCACATTTTCTCTATCTTTATTCTTTAAAACGTACAGGTGTAATTATAGCATTTTTCTATTGGGTCCCCATTGCAAGTGGGTGTAGTTGAATTTAGAAGTAGAAAAATAAGGGGTTTGCCGAAAACAGAAGGAGGTAGAAATTATGAATATGTATTATCAAGCAGGACTTAAGATAATCTTGGGTGGATGTTTAGTTGCTTCAATCAACAAGAAACCTTTGCCTTGAGCTCTTCCAACAAGTGCAGTTCGGTTCCTTTTCTGATGGATGTGATCTTGCTTGAAGTTCGCAAAATTATTAAGAATCTTGTGTTTCAACATAGTATCTCCATTATCTTAATGTACTGGGACAATGTTGTTCCTATACATCTGCAGCACTTTAGAGGACTGAGTTTTCCAACTACCTCTTCTGTTGGTTCAAATGCGGCCATTATCCACTATAAACCTGAGACAGAAACATGTGCTGAACTCGATCCAGATTGCATTTACCTATTTGATTCTGGAGCACAGGTATGTGAGAACATATATTCGGGATAGGCTAGTTGCTTTACATACTTCTATATTTAACATATCATCTTTCCATATATATGGTGGTGTTGCTGAAGTATCTGGATGGAACAACTGATATTACACGGACTGTTCATTTTGGAAAACCTACTCCACATGAGAAATCTTGTTACAACGCGGTATGTAAATTCTAATGTATTTTTAATTATCTCTTTTTGCATTGATAACGATGCCAAACCATGTTGAATCTGACCATGCACGATGGAGTGAAATTTCATAACTTGAGTTCTGATTTCAGATTGAAAATCAGATTACTGTTGCTTATCTAATCTATTTTCGGTCTCCTTCTATACTTGGTTAGCCAACACTACATTAAGACCATCCTAGAAGCTTTAATCCATTTTAAGCCTTGATCAGAGAAACCATTGGAGGCATTATCATCCTAGAGATCTCTAGCTCTATTATTCCTGTGCTTGTATCTTGTAATCTTCATCTCTCCCTCCTTTTCATTTTTTTATAAAAGTTTCCCCTCCTGTAGGCGTGGAGTAAGAAGCAACAGTAAGTCGAAACTTTTCTGTGAAATGCTTTCGTCTTTATTCTTAAGAGTTGTTTTCTGGTTTATTTCTTGAGGGGTTAGTGGATGAGAAGGGATAATGCTTGCAACACTTTGAACCAATTTCTATTAATATATATGTATGTGGGTTTGTCTTTTCCTTTTAGTTTTACTTCTCATACTACTTCTATATATGCTGGTTTTTCATTGTGAGATTGATTTGATAGAATCTTATGCTGGAAAGTCTTGTTCTTCTCTTTACCAAAATACTGCTTTAATGGCTAAAAAGTTCCTTTATTTTATTTAGGTGCTTAAAGGGCATATATCTTTGGGCAATGCCATGTTTCCCAACGGAACCAATGGTATGATTATGTAGAATCATTCTTAGTATCTTCGATGTCTATAATTTATTAAAGTTTCTTCAGTGGTTGGATGTACTAATGCCTAAATCCACAGGCGATTTTTGGAAGGCCTATGCTTATCACTTGCATTTCATTTAACTGATGTGGCCCTCAAGATAGTTGGCTTATCAGATCATTGTGTGCTTGACTAATCTTTATAGGGCATGCTCTTGACATTCTTGCTCGAATTCCTTTGTGGAAGGATGGTCTTGACTATAGGCATGGTACTGGACATGGGATCGGGTCGTACTTAAATGTCCATGAAGGTAAGCCACCCTTATGACTGAAGAGGTACTTGTAAGAAGGAGCAATTTATATTTACATTCATTTACCTTTGGCAGGACCTCATCAAATTAGTTTCAGACCATCTGCAAAGAATGTGCCACTACAAGTTTCAATGGCTGTAACAGATGGTCAGTAGCATCTTACAACATTACGACTTAGAAGTAAAGTTTTCCTTATCATGATTATGCCTCTGCATACTTGGACGGATTTTCACTCTTCACATGAAGTAGTAGGCTTGAAACTGGAATGCTACTTTATGAAGGATGGTCATTAATAAATGTCCTATCCTAACTTAGTCTGTCCTAAAGTTGCTTATTGGAATTCTACAATTAGATAACTGATATGATCAGGGGAAATACCATGCTTTTTTAGTTGTATTAGTAAAAAGGCCGGTCATAAAATTAGGATAAACCACGTCATGCCATGTTGTGCCAGCTTGCTGAATAATCCAATTGTCATCACCTTTCTTCCTCACATCTTTACGGTTTCTTGTTTCAACTTCTCAGGACCTAACATTCGTATGTTATTTTCCAGAACCTGGTTATTATGAAGATGGGAATTTTGGAATAAGAATAGAGAATGTGCTAATTGTCAAGGAGGGCAATACGAAGTTCAACTTTGGCGATAAGGGTTACTTATCATTCGAGCACATAACTTGGGTGAGTTTGTAAACACTTTGTTTTATTTCTGTACACATTCTGATATGCTTCTTTATGGATGGTTCTAGATGAATGTGTGTGGTGCTATTTTACTTTTGCAATCCAAGAGGAAGTGAGATTCTTTTTTTTTTTTTAAACGTTGATATTCAGTTTCACTCGCCATTGATATGCTATTTCATTTTCTAATTCCACAGGCTGGAAATGTTTGTGCCGTGAAGTAACAATTTTCTTTGTTTAATCTAGGGACCATATCAGAGGAAACTAATTGACGCGAGCATTCTGGTGCCCGAAGAGATTGAATGGTTGAACGAATACCATGCTAAATGTAGGGAAATTCTTGCTCCTTACATGAATACATCTGAGATGGAATGGCTGAAGAAGGCTACCGAACCCATTGCAGTTTGACACGCCCCTCTTACGTGATTGGAGTTAAGGTTAATCAAAGGCCATTGTTCCTTGTTTCCAGCTTCATGCCCTTGATAATATGTAGGTGTTAATTCCAAATACTATTGCACTAATGCAGCAACAAATCTGCAGGTTTTTTCGCATATTTGTTGTCGCCTTGTGGAGATGAAAGATTTAACTCCTGATGATTTCACAAAGGGGTCAGCACATTGACAGATCTGTTGTGCTCTTGAGGAGATGCCACAAGTCTTTCGAGGGTTGCGCAAAATTTGGTACCATAACCAGGAACAGACTTAATTATAAATAGAAAATTCATTTTTGCTGGCTCACTTTGTTGTCTCTCTTCTTCGTCCCCTCGCTTTGTATTATTGTAATATTGCGTGTATCCGTGCTGTGCAGGGGCGTATGCTCCACCATTAGAATTTGATACTGATATACATGACATATAAACGCTTATATACATACGTGAAGTTAATTCAGTAAAACAATATCAAAGCTTAAAGCCAAGACAAAACGTATTAGACTCATTATCGCACTGTTTTAGCCACCAATCCATTGGGTTACAAGACTCTGGTGTAGTGGCTCTCACATATAATGACAAATTAGAATAGTAGAGTAAAATTTGAGTACATAGTCTTATATATTCTATTGTCTAGAAAAAAAGAGATAATATGAGATGCTAAGTATCACCACATGGTCCTCCTGCAATTTCTCCTTTGCTCTATTCTTATGCATGATAAAAAGAAGTATCACCACATGGTTAGTAAATGGAAAAAGATAACAAGTTATAATTTGAATTATCCTTGTGCCACGAGCATGGTGGCTATTTAAACAAGCGTGTATACGTTGCAAACTCAAAGGTGAGCTGCAATGTAAAATTCTTCTAGATAAAACTTTTTAACGAATAAGAAAATGAAGGTAACTTTGTGTACTATAAGTGATAGTTTGGTTGGGAAACAAGTTATCCGAGGATTAATTATCCCGAAATTGTTATACCACCCTCGCATAGGGATAAAAATAACACTAAAGTTTCGGGATAACTAATCTCGGGATTAGTTATACCGCAATTTTATCCCAACCAATCGTGGAATAAAACTCATCTCAAATTTATCCCGGAATTAAATATCTCTTATCCCTCGTACCAAACAGAGTTCTAAGTATTTGAATCCTTCTTAAATTAAGACACACAGTTGTTGCACAAAAAAACACTCAAGGATCCTTGAAACATAAATTATTACTCCAAGTACCAAGGAGAGGTCCTACTGACATATCGATTATATTCGAGGCAAACAAATTCAACATATAACCATTTAAGGTGCTTCACTTGGTCTGGCTAAAGCCATTTTGGTATCTCTTGTTCTCACAACATATATTGGTAAGAAAAAAAGGGCCAAATTCCTACAACACATCATCCGGTTTAAGATGGCATGCAACTCATGTGAAAGTCTGTCTTTTCTCGTACTGAAGAAGTGGTAGAAGTCAATCAGAAACTATCAAGCAAGTTCATTAAAACCAATAGCAAAAGATGAAGACAAAATAATTCTAAATAATTCTTAACCAATAGCAAAAGTTGAAAGAAGACAGAAGGAATTGTGAGAATTTTCTCTGTATTGTATTGACAATGTAAAATCCTATATAAACAGATTTTATCCTACTGTAGAATAACAAATAAAGAATATTCTTATACACTTGTACTACTCCTATTTGTCTACAATATAACAGAAAAACCATAAATTATTCTTTCCCATGTGCTCATGTGAGAAGCACTTGAGATATTGCTTCTGGAAACATCCTTATGTACAGCTATTAAAATAATAATCAGATGGTTGAGAATGAAGGATCATGACCATCCATGATTCTTCCACGTGTAAGGCTCAGCTTCCGTTGATTAAAGACATTTAGACAACACAACATAGATAAGTCCGAAAAACTTAGGTGTGTGTCTGAGAAGTCTCTTCTTCTTCCTTCTCTTTCCTGTGTGAAACTTTGTGTAAAAATGGTTGTGAAGAAGCCATCGTCTTCTTCTCTTCATCATCCCCCCTCAAGCTGGTGGGTAGAGACAAAACCCCCAGCTTGCTCATGATGTTGGTGTGAGAAACCCCATATAAGAGTTTGGTAAAAAGATTTGCGAGTTGGGATTTCGAAGGAACGAATGAAAGAGATATCAAACCAGTAAGAAATTGTTGTCTAATGAAGTGACAATCCAACTCCACATGTTTAGTCCGTTTGTGGAAAACGGGATTGCGGGCGATATGAATTGCTTCCTGACTGTCAGAGTGTAAAGGGACCGGCAAAGTTGGAGGAGCAGATAAATCAGCAAGAAGTCGAACAAGCCAAGTGATTTCAACAGTCACCCGTCGCATGGATCGATACTCAGATTCAGCGGATGACAAAGAAATGGAAATCTGCTTCTTCGATTTCCATGAAATGGGAGCACCTCCAAGGATAATAAAGAATCCACTGATGGAGCGACGAGAATCTTTACAAGCAGCCCAGTCAGCGTCGCAAAAGGCGACGAGATCAAAAGAAAGAGCAGAAGAGAGAAGGATACCTTGACCTGGGTCAGATCTAAGATAGCGGAGTACCCTAAGACCAGCAGAAAAATGTGAAAGAGAAGGTCTTTGCATAAATTGACTGAGGCAAAGAACAACAAAAATATCTGGGCGAGTGTTGGTGAGATAGTTAAGTTTACCCACCAATCGTCGATAAAGAGTGGGATCCTCCATGGGTGGTTCTAATTCAGCGTGCAATTTGGAGTATGGATCAAGAGGAGATGAGACAGTAGGCCCTTTACAATCAAACTCAGCCAGCAGTTGCAAGGTAGATTTTCTTTGACTGACTATGTATCCTTGCTGTTCTTTGAGTATTTCCATCCCCGAGAAATAGTGAATATTCCCCAAGTTCTTAACTTTGAATTTAGAATCCAAAAACTTAGTAATATGTTGTATTTCTGTGTCATCATTTCCTGTGATAAGAATATTGTCAACATATACTGCGATGATGGATATCCACTTGTCTGTGTGTTTGTAGAATAGGGAATAGTCATTCAAGGAACTAGAATAGCCTTTGTAGCTTAGAGCACCTGCTAAACGAGCATACCATTTCCTTGAGGCTTGTTTTAGCCCATAGAGTGATTTCTTCAATAAACACACCTAAGTAGGATGAGAGGGAGTGAGACCAGCTGGAAACTTCATATACACCTCTTTCTGTAGATCTCCATGCAGAAATGTATTGTTAACATCTAATTGTGAGACCTCCCAACCTTTCTTAATAGCTACAGCCAGTAAGCACCTGATAGTGGTCATTTTGACCACTGGACTGAAAGTCTCAAAATAATCAATACCTTCCCTTTGTATATCCCTCATGACAACCAACCTGGATTTCAACCTTTCAAGTGACCCATCTGATTTGTGCTTGACCGTGTAAACCCATTTACAAGGCAATGCCTTCTTGCCCGGGGGTAAAGGGACTACATCCCAGGTGTGATTGAGTTGAAGAGCTTGGATTTCATCTTCCATAGCTTTTCTCCATCCAAGATCTTTGGAAGCTTGAGTATAGCTGGTGGGTTTAGAAACTGTGGAAATGGATTTGAAAATGGCCTGATTGTTAGGAGAAAGAGCTCCAAAAGAAAACACATGAGGATGAGAAACATGATGAAAACAGGATGAGGTAAGATTAGAGAAAACAATGCTATTACAGACATAGTCATTAAGGTAGGTAGGTTTCTGGGAAATCCTCTCAGATTTTCTTATAGAAGGTGGTGGAATTGGGATTATAGGCTGTGGACTAGGTCAATCAGTAGGAGATGGGGCAGAATTTGGAGGGCTAGGAACAAATAGAGGAGTACTAGGAGTATTGATAGAAATAGGGGTGCTGTGCTCAGAAGTGTTGGGATGTAGAGGGTCATGTGAGTGTGACTGATGATTAATAGTTGAGGTGGGAGATGGGAGATCCTGAGAAGTAGTTTTAATAGTGGGAGACAAGTGAGGGAAGAAAGGATAAGAAGGAAAAAATGAGGGTGAGGTCATAGGAGCAGAAGTAAATGGAAAAATTGTTTCATGGAATTTAACATCTCTTGAGGTAAAAACCTTCTTGGAATGCAACTCTAGCAATTTGTATCCTTTCTGTTGCTGTGCATATCCTAGAAAAACACAAGCTTGTGCCCTGGAATCAAATTTGCTTCTGTGTTGTGATAAAGTAGACGCATAGCATAAGCATCCAAATGACTTGAGTTGTTCATATTGTGGACTCCTTTTAAACAAAATCTCATAAGGTGTTTTTCCTTTTAGAACTCTAGAAGGAAACATATTGATTAGATATGTAGCAGTTAAAACACATTCTCTCAATATTGAATAGGAACTTGTGAGTGAAAACATAAACTCGTTGCCACTTCCAAAAGGTGCCTATGCTTTCGTTCAACTACACGATTATGCTGGGGTGCTGCCGCACATGAAGTCTCATGCAAGATGCCTTGAGACTGAAAAAATTTAGACTAAAAAGATCCCTTACCTAGTTCCATTGCATTATTAGATCTGATTCTCTTAACTTTCCTTCCAAATTGTCTCTCGACCATAACTAAGAAAGACTGTAAGACAGTGAAAGCATTGCTCTTGGAACTTAAAAGAAAAGTCCAAGTTCCCTTACTAAAATCATCAACCACTGTCAAAAAATATTTGTATCCATTGTAAGTGGTATTTTTGAATGGTCCCCATACATCAATATGAATAAGATCAAAAATCCCATGAGTTCTGATTTGACTTAGGAGAAAACGTAATCTAGTTTGTCTAGCTTTTGGACAAATATCACACACACAATTGAAATTGGAAGGAAAATGAATGAACTGAAGATTTTTCATTACTGAGAATGGCAGATGCCCCAATCTAACATGCCATTGGAGTACATTAGAGTTCTCTGTATAAGAATTAGAAACAGAACAAGAAACTTCACTAGGAACAAGAATGGAATCACTTCCTTTTGGAATTGAAAATACATTGCTATTTAAACTAAAACCAGAATCTATCTTAAGTGGGCTAGGCTCCAGCAGGTACAATCCTCCTCTTAATTCACCAAAAGCTTGTCCCCTCCTCATTAAAGGGACCTTCATGATGTATCCACTAGAAGTTAGATTGAGTGAGCAATGAAACTGGACATACAACTTATGGACTGAGAGTAAATTATATTTGAAGGAAGGAACATAAAGGACCCTTTCGAGAATCATATCAGATTGAATAGGAACTTTACCTATGTGTGTGACATATAATTGAAATGAGTTAGGAAGGCTAATATGTACAGGAACAGGAAGTGGATCTAAAGATAAGAAACAATTTGAATCAAAACACATGTGTTCAGAAGCCCCTGAATCAATGATCCAGGTTTTTGTGTTAAAAGCTGCCAAACAAGTTCCAGTATATTTAAGAATGGTACCAGCTACTGCATTTGCATTGATTGCAGTTCCTGGTGTTGTTGTATTTCCATGTTGTGCCTGCTT